AAGACCTCTCCTTTCCTTTTTTTTTTTTTTTGAGACCTCTCCTTTCTTGCCCGCTGCTCCCCTCAGCAGTGTATTTCAGTAGGTCTGCCTGTTCTGCTCCCCACTCTGTTCTCTGGTGAATCCTCTCACCTCCCACATCTCTAGCCTGTACCCCAGCTCTTGTATGCATAAATAAAATCTTTAAAAAAAAAATTTGTTTATCCATGAAAGAACTGGGGTGTAGGTCAGAGGTATGGGGGGTGAGAGGACTCAGCAGAGACAGAATGGGGGCAGGACAGGTGGATCTACTGAAATCCACTGCTGAGGGGGCAGCGAAGAGACAGGAGAGTTCTGCTGTGCCCTGTGGGTCAACTCCCTGGCTGGGGGTCGGACTCAGGCCGTAGTGGCTGCCGATAGCTTGATAATACTGAGACTTCAACACTTGCACCATGAGGGAGGCCCCGATTTATGTGTTTTTTAAAGAAAGGAGGGCGATTCTTCCTATGCCGGTAGTGGATTTCATTTTATCTTAAAAGTAGTGACTAGGGTGTATGTAACAGCAATTGACAGTGTCCTGTCCCTCCTCGTGACTTCCACACAGGAAGTAGCCAGGGAGCGGCCACCTTGCCTGGCACCTGACCTTGTCAGAGACCCTGCCCACCCTCCCCTGCCCCAAGCGTGTTTGGAGCACTGGGGACAAAGCAGGGAACAGAGGTGTTCTCGAGCCGATCGCCGTGGCTCTGATGGAGCATCATGCTCCCAGCACACGTCAGCTGGGTAAGCAGCTGTCGTGGCTGCACTTGGAAAATATTTGCTACCGTATACCAAAAAGATTTGACCCATTCCAGGTCAAAGACAAGGCAGAAGCAGAAAGTGAAATCCTCCAAGGCTGATCCTTTCATCTTGATAAATCCCTGACCTCATAGGGGCGGCTCAGGAGCCGGACGGGCCAGGCAGAACGGGCTTGCTCAGCGGTTGCAATAAGATTCTGCTCCCTGCAGAGCTGCCCGGGCTGGCCTGAGTCAGTCCTGGGTCCCACCTCCACGCCCTCCCCCGGGGGCTGCCAGCTCAAAGCCTTCTTTCACGAGGAGGGCAGGAGAGCGATGACTCGGGGCGTGTGACGTGTCCAAGTGGGATGAGTAACTGATGAGCCTGAATGTTAATAAGCAGAACAGGCCTCTGACACCGCGAAGCCCCGGAGAGATTCTGTGAGCGCAGACTCCCAACGGTACACTGAAGGCGAGCAAGCAAACATGAGAACAGCGACAAATCCCCAAAACTTTCTAAAACACCCTAAAGTCAGAAACCTATACATGCGTATACTCAGATCATTTATAGGTCAAGAAAATGGAGAAAAAAATGAGAATTGAACAATGATGATTTTATTTTTTAGAGATTTATTTATGCACACAAGAACTGGGGTACAGGCCAGAGGTGCAGTGGTGAGAGGACCCCCCAGAGACAGAGTGGGGAGCAGAACAGGCAGATCCACTGAGACCCACTGCTGAGGGGAGCAGTGGAGAGACAGGAGAGGTCTGCTGCGCCCTGTGGGTAGCTCCCTGACGGGGACCGAACTCAGGCCTCAGTGGCTGCCCATAGCTTCATAGCTCTGAGACTATTCCCTGCGCCACCAGGGAGGCCCAAAACAATGATGATTTTACACATGAAAACTTGTGGGATATAAGAAAGCATTATTGGGCTTCCCTGGTGGCCCAGGGGTTAGTCTCAGGAGGTCACCACCATGGCCTGAGTGCGATCCCCGGCCAGGGAGCAGCCCCACAGCGTGCAGACCTCTCCTGTCTCCTCGCTGCTCCCCTCAGCAGTGTATTTCGGTCCTTCTGCCTGTTCTGCTCCCCACTCTGGTGAGTTCTGTCACCTCCCCACACCTCTGGCCTGCACCCCTGTCCTTGTATGCAAAAATCTTTAAAAAAATAAAAGGGCCCTCCCTGGTGACACAAGGGTTAAGACACGACCTATGAAGCTGTCCACAGCCTCTGCAGCATGAGTTCGATCCCTGGCCAGGGAGCTACCCACCTGGCGCAGCAGACCTCTCCTGTCTCCTCAGCAGTGGATCTCAGTGGATTCACCTGTTCTGCTCCCCACTCTGATACTGTGAACCTTCTCACCCCCCACACCTCTGGCCTGTACCCCAGCTCTTGTATGCATAAATAAATACATCTTTGGGAAATAAATCTTTAAAAAAAATAGGAGACTCTGGAAGCCTTGAGAGCAAGACGCACTCAGAGAGGGGAGGGACCCAGGCACAGAGCAGGGCTCCAGAACCACAGGGGCACGTCCTGCTGTCCAGGTGCTGGGCGTGTACTGGCTGTGGCCACCCCAGGACACTGGCTGGGGCCACAGGTGGGCGGGGACGTGGCGACACTGGCCCTGGGGCACGCACTGCTGGTGGGAACATCAGGCGGGACAGCAGCTGTGCCTCACAGTCCTCCAGAGGGGGACGTGCGCTATGCCGGCACCACTCCACCCCAGGAACCTGCCAGAGAGTGGAGACGTGTCCCAGCAAGATCTTGTCTGTGGATGACAGAGCAGTTTTATTCATAATTGTACAAAATTGGGAAAGAATCCAAATATCCATCAGCTGGTGAGCAGGTCCCGGAGACGGTGTGCACACGTGTGGGGTTACTTTGTGTTGTCAGCCCTAGTCCCGCTCAGGAATTTCTTACATGTTCTAGGTACTAATCTTTCCTGCCTGTTTCTCCTTCCTCCCTCCCTCCCTCCCTCCCTCCCTTCCTTCCTTTCTTTTTTGGTTAAAGATTTGTTTATTTATTTATACAAGCACTGGGCACAGTCAGAAGAGCGGGCGGGTGAGAGAATTCACCAGAGCCAGAGCGGGGAGCAGAACAGGCAGAAGTGCAACAGGGTGGTCCCCAGGAAAGGGGGAGGTCCCTGCCCCACCCAAGGGAGGGTGGAGCTGAGCAGGAAGAGGAGAAGCTGCAGAAGAGACTGAGGAAGGAGCAGGATGGAGCCAGGAGACCTGGAGGAGGCGCGTGGAGCCTAGAGACACGTAAAGAAACTGCGCTTGTCTTTTGGTCGTGGACGGGGTGACACAGATGTGGGTGAGACCCGTGGGGAGGTGACCATGGTAGCTTTTATCTTGATGTTGATTTTGCTCTTTTCCTTCCGGGCTTGTCTGGTTATTTCTGACCCTTTGCTGTGGGTCCCCACTGGAAGATGCTTTAGACTTGTGGCAGGCTTTGGGGCCTTGTTCTGGGCCGATCCCATATGGATGGACTTTTACCCACGAGGGGACGGGTAACTGTGGGTGCTTCATTTAGAAACTAGACTCTTTGCCTTACCTGTATTGTTTCCTAGTTTTATTAAAGTTCCTTCCCATTAAAGTCTCCTATGTTTTGTGTTGATGCGGCGGATGGCAGAACCCATGTAGAATAGGCAGGTTTGCGGAGTTTGGGCTGCCCCTCTCCCTGTCCTATAACAGAAGGACCGAAGCACACTGCTGAGGGGAGCAGCGGGCGGCAGGAGAGGTCTGCGTGCCATGTGGGACCCTCCTCCGTGGCCGGGGAGCAGCCGGGGATAGAACTGGCGCTGCAGAGGCTGCAGGCAGCTTCGCAACCCAGCGCTCAACCGCTGCGCCACCAGGGGAGGTCCACCTGTTTATTTCTTTTTAAATTAAAAAAAAAAGAAATGGAGGGGCCTCCCTGGTGGAGCAAGGGGTTAAGACGCAACTTGTGGGGCTGTCTGTAGCCTATGCAGCACGAGTTCAGTCCCTGGCCAGGGAGCTGCCCACATGGCGCAGCAGACCCCTCCTGTCACCCCGCTGCTCCCCTCAGCAGTGGGTTTCAGTGGATCCGCCTGTTCTGATCCCCACTCTGTCTCTGGGGAGTCCTCTCACTCCCCTCTGATACCGCTGGGCTGGACCCAGTTCTTGTATGCATAAATAAACAAATCTTTAAAACAAAAAATAAAAAATAAAAAATAATTTTTCCTATGGCGGTCACGTTGGTTTACAACACTGGATGTGATTGGGAGGATATTTTCACACCCCCTCAGGTGTATCCGCCATGCACTCCCGCCACCAAGCAGCCACAGCCCTCGCCCTGCCCTGTGCTCCCACCTCCTGGCCTCCCTCTAGGGACCTCAGTCCTGCTGTCAGATTTCTAGGTCTTTAGTTTAGTTTCGCCTGTTCCTTGGTTTTGCTTTTTTATATCTCACATGAGTGAAACCTCCTGTAGGTCTTTCTCCTTGTTTATGTTCCAGCATAAAGCCTTCTCCAGGGTGTCTACTCCTGTTATTTTTTTCTTCAAAGATTTTATTTATTTATGCATACAAGAACTGGGGTACAGGCCAGAGGTGTGGGGAATGAGAGGAGTCAGAGACAGAGCGGGGAACAGAACAGGCAGATTGACTGAAATACACTGCTGAGGGGAGCAGCGGGCGAGACAGGAGAGATCTGCGGCGCCATGTGGGTTGTTCCCTGGCCGGGGATCGAACTCGTGCTGCAGAGGCTGCGGACAGCGTCATAGAGCTGTGCTTAACCCCCTGCGCCATCAGGGAGGCCCCAGGGCCACTATTAGTGTAGAGTAACTTTTCCCTTCCTTCCTTTCACCTTCAATTTCCGTTTGGGTCTCAAGTGAGTCTCTTATACACAGATCACACTGGACCCTCTGTTTTTCTATCCACTTGGTCAAACTCTTTTGATTGGGAATTTACTCTTCTACATTTAAAATAACTACTGGTGATTAAAGGCTGACTTTTGACAGTGTGCTCTTTTCTAATATTACAGTTTTGTCCCTGACTATACTGGGACAAAGTGCATTACTGTCACTTTTTGCATTTCATTCATTTTCCACACTTAGATGTTCTCAGTTCCTTTTGTAGATATTCTATAGCTGTTTTCTGCGTGGTTACATGGGGATTGTGCTTAACACCCTAAAGTGATGACACTCATTAGAATTCCTACCAGAGTAATTTCATTAACAGACAAAAACTGCACCTTTACTGCTCAGTTGTCACAAAATTGCCTTTTTTTTTTTTTTTAAATCAAGTGGTCAGGAGTGAATGTTTTCATTTCAGATCAGTCCTGAAAGATGACTGCTGTCCTTTCACAAAGCCGCACCTGCACCTAGTGTGTGCCTGGACATCAACAAGTGATTCTTTTCAATGCATTAGTCTCTTAAATTATGTGGAAAATAAAACGTGGAGCTGAAAACCAGCTACAATACTTTTAGATTAGTAATTATTTTTTAATGCATTATTCTCTCAAATTATGTAGAAAACTGATAAACCTTTGATGCAACAGCACTAGCTTCAACGATCTCCCACGGATCTGCCACCACCAGGACCTTTGTTTCTTCATGCCGGGCCACGGCCCCGTGCCCTTTCCTTTCACCTGCAGACCCTGGAGTGGCTCTTGCAGGGCGGGTGTAGTGGCAGCAAATCTCACCTTTTACCAGAGGGTGCCCCAGTCCCTCCCTCACCCTGAAAGGACAGTTGTGATAATAGAATTTTTTTAAATTTGGAGTAACAGTGCATTGTAAGTTTAAGTGTTTGTTGTTAAGGAACGACATATATATAGTTTTAAGATTTTATTCTTGTATAGAACTTGGGTATAGGCAGAGGTGCGGGGGTGAGAGGACTCCCCAGAGTAGGGAGCAGAACAGGTGGATCCACTGAAATCCACTGCTTAAGGGAGCAGTGGGGAGACAGGAGAGGTCTGCTGTGGGGCAGCTCCCTGGCCGGGGGTTGAACTCAGGCCCCAGCAGTGACAGCCTGAGACTGACCCCTGGGCCACCCGGGAGGCCCTAATGTTATTCTTGGCTGACTTTCCTTTCAGCGCTTTGAATGTGTCAACCCACTGCCTCTTGGCCTTTGAGGTTTCTGATGAGACCCTTGAGTATCTTCTCAGTAAGATACCTGCATGTGACAAATTGCTTCTTTCCTGCTGCCTTCAAGATTCTCTTTGCGGGGCCTCCCCTGTGGTGCAAGGGGTTAAGACGCAGCACCGTGAAGCTATTCACAACTACTGCAGCACAAGTCTGACCCCCGGCCGGGGAGCTACCCACATGGTGCAGCAGACCTCTCCTGTCTCCCTGCTGTTCTCCTCAGCAGTGGATTTCAGTGGATCCGCCTGTTCTGCTCCCCACTCTGTCTCTGGTGAATCCTCTCATCCCGCACCTCTGGCCTGTACCCCAGTTCTTGTATGAACAAATAAATCTTAAAAAAAAAATTCTCTTTGCTTGTAAGCTGTCTCAGTGTGGCTCCCTCTGAGCTTACTTTATTGGAGTTTGTCGAGGCTCATGTCTATCCTTTACTTTGAAAGTTTTCAGCCAATATTTTTTCAAGTATTTTTCTGAAAACGAGAAAATATTCTCTCATTCAGCCTGAAGAGGGGCACGCAATGGCGCTCGTCGTCTGGATGGCTCGGACCCCAAGCACAAAGGAGCATGTGGCACTGATGGCTGGAACTGGAGGCCTTGTGCCCTTTCGCCCACAATTTGGTGCTCATTTCTACAGCATCTCAGTTCCTTCCAGTTACTGTCCCATGGCCAGCTGGAAGATGACCAAGACTACCACTCTTTGCTCGTAACTGAAACTAACCAAAAATGAACAGCATAAATAATAAAAAAAAAATCTTTAAAAAACAAAAAACAAAAACAAAAAAGAATGAACAGCAATTCCCCACCCAAGTCCTCTGGAAGTTGTAAGCTGTCAGCTGGCTCGGGCTCTGGGGCTGTCGCATCAGATTCAGCAAAAGCAGTTGTTGCCTAGGTGCTGCCTTCTACCTGAGATTGGCTTAGAACCGTCTGCATTTTATTTCTTTTTAAAAAAGATTTATTTATTCATTCATTCATTCATTCATACAAGAACCAGAGTACAGGCCAGATGCGCGGGAGGGTGAGAGGATTCACCAGAGCCAGAGCGGGGAGCAGAACAGGCAGAAGGACCGAAATACACTGCTGAGGGGAGCAGCGGGCGAGACAGGAGAGGTCTGCCGCGCCATGTGGGATTTCTCGCCAGCCGGCCGGGATTGAACGCGTGCTGCAGAGGCTGCGGACAGCTTCACAGTGCAGTGCTCAACCGCCTGCACCACCAGGGCAGGCCCCTGTCTGCATTTTAAAGACAGACTTTACTGACGTTTTAGTTCAGTTTTGGGAGGGATTTGGGTTTGCTCAGGTTCAACCCACAATTTTTTTTTTTAATTAATTTTTTAAAGATTTTTTTATTTATACAAGCACTGGGTACAGGCAGAAGTGTGGGAGGGTGAGAGGATTCACCAGAGCCAGAGCAGGGAGCAGAGCAGGCAGACTGACGAAGTACACTGCTGAGGGGAGCAGCGGGCAAGACAGGAGAGGTCTGTGAGCTCCATGTGGGACCCTTGCCGGCGGCTGGGGATTGAACTGGCTCTGCAGAGGCTCTGCCCCACCAGGGGAGGCCCTCAACCCACAATTCTTAACCAGAAGTTGCAACTGTTTTGTTTCTTCAAGTTGTGTTTTAATAGGCCCTGGGCATCCCTGATTGTTTCATTGTTACAGAAACCAACAAAGAAAACCAACCGGGCATTCATTTCCACACACTTAAAACCAGAAAAATTTTATATATATGTAACCGAGGAGCACCCAGGAGCGGGGGATGCCCCTGGGAAGCTCTCCTCACCGCCTGTCCTTACTGCCGGTCATGCTCTTCTGCGACCTTGTATTTGGAGGGACTTATTCGTGGGATTAAGCCGGGGCCAGCCTGGGGCCCTGGAGGAGGCTGGCCCCTCAGGGAGCCACAGGGGTCACTCCTAGGTCTGCTTGCCTCCCAGGGCCCTAGTTACTGCGGGCACAGGTGCCACCCTGGCTCGTTGGTGGCGACGGTGCAGCCTGTGCCTGGGCGCTCCCCTTAAGGGCCGCGGAGTCTCTGCTGTTTCCTCCTCCAGGTTCTCTCTTCCAGTTCAAGTTCCCTATTTGCTTGTGACATTTCCTTGTGCTTTTGGCGAGTGGAGCAATGCATTAAAAATGCAATTTCTGCAGAGTGAGTTGTCTTTTACCGGCTGGGGCCTTCAGAGCAATTGCACTCACTCAGGCCCGAAATGGGTCTCCGGCACCTGGTGTTCACACAAGCGAACTAGGACGGGCACCGTGGCCCTTGGGGAACTTGGCTGCCCTGGCCGGGGTTTGGTGTGAGCCTCTCTAAACCATGTACAGTGCTGCGAGCTAGCAACTGCAATAAAAATAAAACCCAATTTTACTTTTACAGGGAAATCTCGCCTGTCCAAATCTGGTTTTTGTTCCTGTCCTCCACCCCCCAGGCCTCGGGCGGGCCCCATCTATCCACTCACTTATTAAGCGGTTGTTCCGTGATCTTTAATGTATTTATTCTTCAAATGTAAAGAATGTTATTTTTTTAGAATCCAACTTTATCTGCCTTCAAATGCTGTTACACTCCTGAAACGTTTTTTAGTTTTCCTTTTCACCTTCGCTTCCTTTCCCAAGTGTGACCACACTTCAGGCCATTTCCCCCAGTTTAGAAGTTCTGACCTTCAGCGCCCCTGATCACGGCCCCACACCAGTTGCTCACAGTTAGAATCTGTGTTGATTTGGTTGAGCTGAACTGGGTGGGGTGCACTGGGACGAGGGTCCGATCCAGGGGCTCCGGGTGTGGGTGGGTGTCCAGAGTCTACACGGGGCTGGGGCTGGCCAGTCTTTTCCCTTCACACAAGAGGCGGCGTCTGTTGGGCAGGGCCACTTGGGCGCCCTGCGGCCCAGAGGACGTTCTGACTCTCCCACTGTCCCCTCAGGAGACCACCTCCTACCGCCTTTCAGCGCCCACAGCTCCCATCAGGTAAGTTCTAGCGGCTTCCTGAAAGCAAAGCGCACTGCCCCATCAGCCCTTGAGACCCCGAGTCAGGGCCCATCCTACCCCCCTGCAGTAACCGGAAGCTCACAGGCAGCCCCGTGTTGTTGCCCGGGCTGGGACGAGGCAGCTGCTGGACAATGCCCGAAAGGCGAACTACAGAACAGGTTCCAGTGAAAGGAATGTGTTGTGGGGTCTCCAAGTGCAGGGTTTTCTGTCACCCCAATCACAAGCCCTTAGGAAGCATTCCTGTCACCTCTTGAATCCCGACACCCGCCCGCCCTCGGGCAGTTGGTTGGGGGCCCCAGGGTTCACTGCCCCTGAAAATGAACCAACCAACCCAAAGGCACGCAGAGGACCATGGGCCTGCCAGGCCTAACCGAGGAATCCGCGCTGGGGGAGTGAGAACTGCGCACCTAGCAGGACAGAAGCTGGGTGGCTACAGGGAATTATGGGAAAGCCACATCCTGAGGCTAAAGCTTGAGGGCAGTTCCAGAGGACCAGGAGGCTTAGGGGTAGCATGAGGTGTAGACACTCAGCAAGCTGCCCCAGAGGAAGTCGCCTTGTTCAGGCACTGTGCCCACAGGCTGCACCTGCGTGTCCCCCCGGCCTGCGCAAGGCCTGGACAGGGAGGGTCCCAATTCCCCCATGTGAATCCTCAAAACCCCACCCTTCCCTCAAGTTCACGTTTTAAGGGTTACTGGGCATTTTGTCATCAAAAGAACACAACTGACACTCCAGCTCGAGGCCCACCGCACCTTCTCCTGCAGTGCGAGGCCCAAACCAGACTATGGGCCTGGACACCATTCGGTCAGAATCTCCCAAGACCCCCCGCTGGGGCCCACCCTCTACACCAAGCCCCAAGCACATTGTGCTCAAGTCTCTCTGCACCTGCGTACCCAGTTCTGCCTGCCCCAGACCTGCCAATCTGGAGTACAAGGCCCTCGGCAGGTATGCCCAGCTTGGTGATCCCAGCCTCCCCAGGGTGAACCGCGCTGTCATCTGACCAGTGATCCCCAAGGCACCTGACAACCTTCCCCCACTCTTGGCTTCTAACAGCACTGTCCCTCGTGCCCCCCCCCCAGGCTTTAAGAGTAATCCCATCCTTGCAGCCTGTAGGCTTCCCTCCTCAGGCCTCTATGCAGGAGCCCTGTTGCCTCCCCCCAGCCTCGTACCCCCAACATCAAGGCATCCACTACAGAAGTCTCCACTCCTGGGTATGCTCCCTCCTCCTCCTGAGAAGTTGCCCAATGTTCTCTCCTCTGCAAGTCCCACTCCTGTCTACTTTGGTCTGGGAGCACCTTTGGGTGTGGTCAAATTCAAGTGAGGCAAACTGGCCCAAGGCCTAAGGCAGACCATGGGGAGGCAGGGGGTGACACTGCCCTCTCTGGGACCCTGTAGATTATCACCTCACAAGGCTACAGTCCCCTGCCAGCTGCTAGTCATCCCCCATTTTTAACCACCCCAAGGACCTTCCTCACTCAGCTCAAGTTGATCAGAGAGTAGGAGACCTGAAGTCTGAACCTAAGGCAGCCCCGGGCACCCAGTCCGCATGTGGCTGTGGGACTTTGGGTCTCTTTTCTGGGCTTATTTCCTCCCTGTCAAGTCCATATACTATTCAAAGTGCTACTGCTGGGCCTCCCCGGTGGCACAGCAGTTGAGCACTGGGCTGCGAAGCTGCTCACAGCCTCTGTAGCGCTGGCTTGATCCCCAGCTGGCTGGTGAGGGTCCCACATGGCACACAGACCTCTCCTGCTACGCCCACTGCTCCCCTCAGCAGTGTTTCGTCAGTCTGCCCGTTCTGCTCCCCGCTCTGGCTCTGGTGAATCCTCTCACCCGCCTGCGCTTCTGACTGTACCTAGTGCTTGTGTAAATAAATAAAATCTTTAAAAAAAACACCAAAAACCCAAAAAACCAAACAAAGTGCTACTGCTAGCCGTTAGGTAGTACCAAGTGGGGCTGAGGCCTACCCAGTCACCCACCTGGTGTGGTCTGAGCACACCTGAGAGCCAAGCCCCACCCTGAAGCTGCCCCTGAGCCCCCCCCCCCTTTTTGGTGGGACCCTCGTCGGCAGCCGGGGAACAAACCGGCGCTGTAGAGGCTGTGGGCAGCCTTGCAGCAGTCCTCAACCGCTGCACCACCAGCCCTTTTTTCAGGTGTCCAGAGCCACTCAGAGGTGGCTTTTTTACCCCTTCTTCCAGACAGCATTTCCCTGGCCATTTTCCCCTGGCCCAGTCAGGAATGACCTCACTTTACTGGCCCCTAGGCTGTCGCACACAGGAGCTATCCCTGCTGCGGGCACAGCTGGCGAGTTTTACAGGGAGGCCCAAGTGACTACGCCCCTTCAAGGGAGCCAGAGCAAGCCAACAAAGCAGGCCCCGCGGTAACTAATAGATCAACACCATGTGCGGCTCTAGGTTCCGTGGAGTCTCTGTACCTCAAGTTCCCAGCATCTTAGCTGGAGGTGGACAGAAGGCCCAAGTGCGCCTCTTCTCATGAACAAGGGCACAAAGGGTCACCCTAAAGGCCATGCTCGAGGCACACAACTATGCTAAGTCATCTCCCACGTTTCTCCATTCCTGGTGCATCGTCCTTAGGAATCGAGGGCTGTATGGCCGCTGTATGGGCTACTGAGGACAGATGTTACATGTGGACATGTGCCACAGGGGCACATAGGACACAGCTCCCCACACAGAGCACACTGAAGGGGCGCAACAGTGGCCCTGGGACATCAGCACCTACATCTCAGAATAGAGCAGAAGTGCCCTTCTAGACTTGCCTCTTAGAACAGCCGCCATTTCCAAGGCATCTCTGGGTTAAGGGCTTGTGTCAGTACTCAGTTCACTGCAGCAGCCGGCAGCAGTAGGGGCCCCTTGAATCCCAACAACTCACCAGGTGAGTTACACTGGGTCCCTCTCAAACCTGCAGGACCCAAACACTGTCAGCTCATCAACTTCAGAGAAGACTTGTTTGGTAATCCTCCCACCGCCCCGTGCCCCCAGACGCTTGTCTGCAGTCACACAGGGCCGTGCTCCCGATGGCGACCTCCCCACCAGCACCCACCAGGGCTGCAGGAGGCCAGACAGACCTGCTCAGGATATGATCAAATGAGTCCCCGAAGGGGGAAGTCAATGACCCAAGGTAATCGGCATTGCCTGTCTGAGCTCAAGGGCCCAACGACAGGAACCTACAGCAATAACTAACTGGGACAGATTTCAATGCTCCAATCTTATTAAAATGGAGACCTGGGCTAAGTTTATTAAATCAGAGACGAAATAGAATTTTAACATTGTTTTAATCAAGTTAACGTAACTGTTTAAAACAAGAAATTTTAAGACAGTCGAATAGAGCAAGGTGAAGGGTTTCTCTATTAGGACAGCCTCTGGATAAAATTCATACGTGGATCTGAATTTCATTGCAAGTTTGGCACCAGACAAAACACTGGTTTTAAGCCAAAATTTTCTCTTTAGTGTTTAGAAGCCCTGAACAGGTTTTTTCCTTCAGATTAAAAAGAAAAAGGCCGTATAACTGAACCTGATTAGCTTGACACTGGGTTATACAGAATGCAACTTAGCTTGGGTCACCAGTACGTCCTACAGAATTTCTATTACTGAAAGCAAATTGGCCCTTGACAAAGAACTTGAAACCTAGGCAAGATGTGAATTTTTCTAAAACCCCTTCTCTTTGGTGAGACAAAGCACATAACTATATGGCTCCCACTTCACTCTCATCAAAATTTATCAAAAGGCAGCTTGAAGGCCAATCTGTATCTCTCCAGTAAAAACGCTCAACTTTAATTCCTCAAAATACCAAGCTAACAAGGTTTATTATATCAAATATTTGCTAATTTCAATGTGAAAAAATTTTTACATACACATGTTAAGGTCTCATTGTAGTCTATGAGCTGGGTCACTAAGAGTCAGAGGGGAACCATGTAAGCCAGCTGCACACAAAACTAACATGGGGTCTGCATTCCCACCACACCTTTCGTGGTAAGAACAAAGGCAAGAGCCTTTGCCTTGAAGATGCGGTCTCAGACATCGCCAGAACCTGTGGTAATGGAGCTGAGACCAGCTGACTGCTGAGATCCCCAAGTGAAGTTATTCCCAATCTAACCCAGATGGGCTAGGTCACTGGTCACCTGCACTCCATGGCCTCTACCAGACTTCTTGGTGACTGGGTATATTTAATGTGAAATAAAAACACCCCAAGTGTCACATCAAAATATAAGCTCCGACTCTGAAGTGTGATTTTAGCTTTTTAAATAAGACACTGAAAATCAACAACAAAAAACCAAGTTGTAGACATGAACACTTATCTTGGCCAGGTGGCAACCCAAACCTAAAATGCATTAAGCTGTGTCCAAGTGTAAAATGATGAAAGAACCCCAAGGAAATATACAATGTCTAAACATTATGAAATTATACTTTAAACCTAAGAGCTGAAAAATGTTTTTGCTAGAGATTAAGTGCACCTTTTCCTGCATCCAAATAAAACCATAGAGCTTACTATTTAATCACACCCCAAAGTCTGAGTTTCTCTCAATACAAAGCAACAGCTACATACACATAGAATATCTACCTATTAATGCAGTACTTCCCCTGGCTCATCCAACGTGCGATGCACATGAGTTCAAACACTACAATTTGGGGCAAGTGTACACAAACTGGGAAAAAAAAAATTCAAGTTTCAAAACCTGCTCTTAAAATTACTTATAGGACACTCAGGTCATTTTTACCTCTTATTAAGATAAAGATGTTGCACTGTCAATTGATCATCAGTCCACATTGGCATGGGGAGGACGTACGTCAACCAAATGCCAATTCAAGGGACCAGAGTTGAGACTTAAAAGTACTATACTTAATGGCTGAATAAGGTATTAACAAATAGGTTTATGCTTACATTCTGCCGAAGACCTCTTCAGTCTCAGCACCTAACAAAATCTAACAGGCTCCGAGAATCCTATCAGGTTAAAGAATGGTGCGACATTTTTATTAGGAGCCAATTATTTCAGCTTAAGTCATTCAGAGCCAAAAATCTGAAGAATGACCAAAATCAAATCTTTATTTTATAACTGTATAAATGTGATCCAAATATGTCCACCACTAATTTTTCAAAAACAAACATGCTATAAATAAGCAAACTACATCTGCTCACTGGTATGTGTATGGACTCCCTAGATGTCTCATTGGGCTTAATTACAGACCACTCACAGCAATACAATTTTAGTAGAAAGTGTAGCATGATGTTAAGCCATTTCAGCTTTTGCACATACATGTTGCACTTCTGGCTGATGATGCAGAACAATTCGCAGCATTACACTGTTAAGCTGGGCTGCACCCACCCCTTTAAATGGCATCAATATCAATGTCATCGTCCTTGTTGTCAGACTTCACAGCTTCAACTTTCGGTACACTGGCAGTCTTCGAATATACCACCTGATAAACAAATGTTTTTATTGATTGGAAACCTTTATCCTAATAAATCTACTTATAAGAACACTAACAGTTAATTGTCGGCAAAGAAAAAATGGTCTAAATGCAGCCATAACCTGTATGTGAATTTCTGGTATGCGAAATCTAAAAATTAAATACCCTTATCTGTAATTTTTAGACCACCAGCATAGCCCTATACTTGACCTGCACCAAACCCCTACTTTGCTAAGTAAGACATTTGAAAATAATGTCTGGGGGTGAAAGATCTTCCTAACCACAGTCCCCCATAAACGATTATTTTTCAAATCACTAAGGCTGCACTTTATTACATCTAGAAATTTTAAGTTTGGAATTACCCCCAACTACTACTTTATAATTCTCAAACACCCACCACTACAAGTTTCAACACTTTCTCCAATTTTTACCTCAATATTCTCATCTTCATCATCATCTTCGCCACCAGAAGATTCTTCCTCTGCCTCCTTCAACCATTTTATAAATGGTTCTGCTTTGACACGAATCTCTTTGGCAAGTTCTTTTGAAACATATTTCTTAGAGGCCTAAAAAAATGTTCAGTACAGCTTTCTTAGTTTGAGGATCTAGAAAATAATTTGAGATATTTATGTAATTGCCCATAGTGAGTCTTTCAGAGGACCGGGTCACTTTTCTGATTCTTGAATCCTTGACAGGATACATATATTTAGCAAATAACTTTGAAGGTAAGTAGTTTCTCTGCTAGGAAACGGCCACGGTAGAAATCACCTACGTGTAGTTACACTAGCCAAGCACAGAAACTGCATTTAACAGAGACAAGTTACTAGAACGACCAGATACTGTTATGTATTTATTCCCCACCTTTTCCGACCAGCTGATGATGACCTCTTCTTCCAAAAGGTCTGCATCATACATCTCCTTCAAGATATGGGGAATCTTGGAGATGAGCTGAGCTTGATGCATTGCTACCACACACTCCAAACCATGAAGGAGGTACCGCTGAGCTTTTTTGTTGTTGTGACAAAACTGCAAATAGATTATCTTGATTAACAAGTTTTTTCAGCTGTCCTGCATTGACAATTCTAACAAATATATTCACTGTCCTAAGAATATTCCGTAAGACTAAGGCCCTGTAACAGCTCAAAAACCAATCAATACGTTAAGATGTACTATTTTACACATAAGAGACTACGTGCAGCATTTTTTTTCGTGCATTTTTTAAGACACTGACATGCTTCTAAGTAGATCAATTATCTCCATATCCAAGATAATAGGAACATATGATTGAGAGGTTAAAATCTTCCCAAGGTCAGAACTGTAATCTCATTACAAATCTAATTTGCTTACTCGTAGGAAATGGCGCCTGTATTTCTTAATTTGTTCTCTAATCTTCTCATTAAAAAGAACTTCAGTCAAAACAAGAGGGCCCATGGCTTTTACATCCAGTCTTTCTGCTTCAGCAACAATTTCCTTATCAGATGAATCAATAATGCCTTCTTCTTTCTTTTTCTGTAAAGAAAAATATACTCCAGTAAAATTTTGCTCTAGATATACCCGCGAGTCCCTGTTTTTGTGGCCTTGTTTGCTACCTAATTTATGACAAATCTAGGGCCTTTAAAGGAATCACAGCAGCCTTAATGTTACCCTTAATTATGCTCCAAAAAACCCCTGAATGAGCATGTAAAAGTAGGCTTGCCAACTCTTCACCTTGAAGGGACAGATATTTAATAAAAGCCCAAGCCTGGGCTGTTACAAAAACATTAATTGTTACAGAAATAAATGTTTTACCTTAACAAAATCAAACAGGATATTGACTCGTTCCTCAACAGTCCTTTCCAGATCATCGCTGAGAGTCAGAACTTTCGCATGGTCGCTGATTTCATCCATTCTGCGCCTTTGAGCTTCCTCGGTTGTGTCCTCCCCCCAGTCGTCATCCTCCTCTTCTTCCTGTTCACAATCAACAGGCTTGAGCAGACTTACAAATGCAAAAAGTTATTTTGTATCTTATCAAGTTAATGACACCAACTTCTTTTTCTACAAAAATAAGGTTCCTTCTTTCTGCCCATCCCAACCAAATACATTTACTTTGCATCACTCTAGGCAACCCCCCCCACCCCCAACAAGCCTGCACTCACCACAGCGTGCGGAGGAGGGCTGATTTCATTGGGCGGCGGTGGAGGTGGAGTCTCACTGCTGGACACGGAGCCGTTTTCCTTGTCTTTACCCTTCCTATTTTTCTTTTCCTTTTCTTTCTTTCCTGTACCACTGTCACTATTCTCTGTAAAGAAAATTGAGTGCCATGGATTGTCCCTTCAATACCATGGTAAACCCTGCCCTCTCCAGAAAACCACAACTACCGCACCACCTGTAATTCCAAAAGAATTCACCAACTCAATGTATACACTGACTGTGCTTAAGGTAAGAAACTCAGGCTAAGAAGGAAACGCCTCACAACATCAGTGGTATCCACTAAGATTAAGAGGGGATCCCTTAGAAACAAATCACTCACACTCCTCCTCCTCTCATTGCTTAGGAACTTAAACCCAGGCATATCTCAACTTCAGCTCACTTAGAACGCTGTTGAAGTCTAGATAACGGCTCGTCTCATGGAGGGGAGAACACCGGAATAGGTTAGACTTTCATGCTATAGCAAGCTCAAATTGTGTCAGACAGCTTTGATCATCTGGCACAGAGTGTTGCTTGCAGTACTCTCAAGTTCCCTAGGCTTAAGGAGCCACCCCCTTGCCCTTACAAAATAGCCTTCTGAGAGTAGATGCCTTGCTACGATCCTGTCACAATTCTGCTTTATAACACCGATTTCATCAACCATCCTAAAAGAAGGCGCATTAAAAATAAATTGATAAGGGCCTCCCTGGTGGCGCAGCAGTTGAACACTGGGTTGCGAAGCTCCCCGCGGCCTCTGCAGCGCCGGTTCGATCCCCGGCTGCTCCCTGGCCACCTGAGGAGGGTCCCACATGGCGCGCAGACCTCTCCTGCCGCCCGCTGCTCCCCTCAGCAGTGTACTTCGGTCCTTCTGCCTGCTCTGCTCCCCGCTCTGGCTCTGGTGAATTCTCTCACCCTCCCGCGTTTCTGACTGTACCCAGTGCATGTATAAATAATAAATAAATATTTAAAAAAAAAAAAAATTGATAATATGGTAGTTTTCCAGCCAGATTTTCACTTTTAACAGTATATCATACAGGGCCTCCCCGGTGGCGCAGCAGTTGAGCGCTGGGTTGCGAAGCTGCTCCCAGCCTCTGCAGCGCTGGTTTAATCCCTGGCTGCTCCCCGGCCACCAGAGGAGGGTCCCACATGGCCCGCAGACCTTTCCTGCCGCCCGCTGCTCCCCTCAGCAGTGTACTTCGGTCCTTCTGCCTGCTCTGCTCCCTGCTCTGGTGAATTCTCTCACCCTCCCAAGCTTCTGACTATACCCAGTGCTTGTATAAATAAATAAATAAATCTTAAAAAAAAAAAAACAAAAACAAAACCAACAACACAAAAAACAGTATATCATACGATGGTACATCTTTCAAAGCCATCTTAAGTACTAAGAGTTTAGAGATCATAAATTCAGTTTAACTACAACAAAAACTTCCATTTTGTTTCCCACAGGTCATCATGACTTACCAGGTGGGTTTTTGAGAATGAATGTGCAGAGTTTATGATGTGTATCAAGCATGCCTCGATAGCCACAGGCTTTACAAGAATTACCTATTGTTTGCTTCTTTGGATTGACATGCTGCCAGAGAGAGTAAAAACAAGTATGTCATCCATAACAGATGAGGAAAATTCTGAGAGGAACAGTGTGTGAAAATATCCAACAGCACCAACTTTACATTAAAAACCACCCCCTCCCATGACACCTACTGTAATAAATTTAATAATTTGAGATTGCTGTTATTTACTTCTAATCAAGTTCTAATTCAGGAAGATGATCTGATGACGGTCACAGGACTAATCAGGAAAGCTGCACTATTTTTTCCCTTCTATTGACAAACAGCCCAGTGACACTCACCAGATCTGTTTCAGGATTCTCACACTCAGGACAGAGAACAAATTTTTTAATGAATCCATCCAACATGTCTTGCAGCTTATTCGCCTCATGAGATCCATTGACAATGTACCGGTCATTCTTAACATCAAACTGGGTCTGTGCTCCCAGCTCACAACCAAAATATTTGGTGGGATCTATTGGGCAAAAATGTCAATTGATTGTAGTTACAGTGTATTCATCTGCGTATACATAACCAGCACTTCTCAGGTTTCCTAAATTACTAGGTTAAAGCAAATATGTGCTGCCAGGGTAGTTTCTGTGTAATGGCAATATGTCAGTTGATTTTAAGTTCAAAGTTCCACTTAACCCTTAAGCTGATTATGATTAGCACACACTTCAGACAAGATTAGCAGATCAAAAATTCAGAAGCAAAAAGAACTACTTACACGTTGGAGGCCGATTAAGCGCCTTTGCAACGTCAACCATGTTGACTATAACTGTCTTGATTCCATTTCCTTTGCCCTCAACCTGAAAAAAAAACAAACTGTTTCATTGTGCCCTCTACTCCAGGAGACGCACTCTGAGGGATCTAGGGTCACCACTTACAACCTGAGACTCAAATGAAAATGAACCTTACCTTGGCAATCAAACGGGGCATCTTGTAGCGATAGAACTGGTCTGACACGCTGCGGTTGACGTTGACAGACATTTTGGCTTATTAGTGGCCTTATCAATAAGATGAAGAGATCTTTGATTGCAACTTTTTGGTATCTTCTGTCTGGAGAAGAAGGGATGACATAAACGACTGCAAGAGTTCTCGGTCTCTGACATGAAAAAGTTTTCGCCACTGAGGCTGTAAGCTTCTTGCGTGTATGCTATGTTTCCCCAATACAGGTACCAATGGCTGCGCAACAGCTCTGAAAGAGAGAGGAGAGGGACACACAAACCCCCATGTTTAACGAGACTCCCGCAGGGGAAACAGCTCCCCAACCGGCCGGAGAGTGACCCTAGGTTACAAAGCACCCGAGTCCAGGGAACCCAGGCCCCCCCGCGCCCCGAGATGCGGCTCTGGCAGCGACGACACAAACTGCCCGCAGCGGGCCCGCGGGCGGCCGGAACCCGACCAGCGCCGAGAGGGAACGAGACCCCGCCCCGGGTCACCACCCGCCCTCCTCGCCGCCTCTCCCCGCCCGCCGTCTCCTTCCGGGGCGGCCGGGCGCCCCCTCGCCGCGGGCCGGCCGGGCGGCACACCTGAAACGCCGCCGCGTCGGGCCGCCCGAGGGGCGCCGCGCCCCCGCCCTCCGCCGCGCCCACGGTTGACTTAACCTTCGCTCCCGCCCCGCGGCGACGCGTTCGGGGCCGCGAAAGGCCGCCCCGGAGCCCCCGCGCGCAGAGGCCGCGCCAGGCCGGCCGGGTCCTCCCGGGGCGGGCGGCCCGCGGCCCCGCCGCCGCCCCGCCATGTGCGCGGGCCCGCGGCCGCCCCCGCCGGCGCGGCGGTGACTCATGAATGCCGCAGGGCTGACTCAGCCGCGGCGGCCGCGCGCTCCGGGGCCGCGGGGGCCGGCGCCGGCGGAGGGTCCCGCCCGGCCCGGCGCCCGAACTGCGCCACACGCGCGGCGGGTCACGCGGCGCGCCGCCATCTTGTGCGGCCGCCATCTCCGCGCCGCCCGCCGCCCGCGCACTCACCGTTTTCGTCAAATAAAGACATAAACCCAACGCGGCTCGCCCGGGACTGGGATGAAGTGAGGCGCGCGAACCCGAGTCCGAGGAGGCCGGCGGAGGAGCGCAGCGAGCAGCGGCCGGGCAGGCGCCGCCGAGCAGCGGGGAGGGGCTGTCCCAGCGACGTCCGGCGTCCACACCCTTCAGCGCCCGGGGCCTGGCGACCTGGCGGGCGCGAGAGACGGCGCCGTGAGCCGCGGCGTCGGGGCGCCTCCCCCCAGCCGGCGGCCCGCGGGGGGGGCGGGGGGGCCGGGCGGGGGGCGCGGGGCTGCCACCCCTCCACCAGACTCACCTCTGGAATGTTCTCGCTCTGACTGAACAACGCCGCCGCCGCGCTCAAGCTACCCTCGGCCCCAGCGCCCGCCCCCCGCGCCAGGCCGCGCCGTCCATTGGCCGGCGGCGTGCCCGAGCGCGCGCGTCATGGGCTGGCTCGCGGCGTCAATCGCGCTCGGCCCCGCCCCTTACGCTTCCTGCGGCGACGCCGGCCGCCGGGGCCCGCCTTCCGCCCCTCCCCCGCCTTTCCCAGCGGCCCGCGCGGCCTCGCGAGAGCGGGAGGGTCGGCGCGAGCGTCCGGGCCGAGGTCGCCGTTGGCTCCGCCCCGCCCCCGCCCCGTCGCCCGGGGTCTCCCCGCAGGCCTCGCGCGTCTCCGCGCCCCGCCCTGAGGCCTGGGCTGAGGCGGGCGCGTGGCCGCCGTGGGGGGCCCAGCTCCCCGCCGCCGCCCCCGCCGGCTCTGCCCCTGCCCCCCGCCGCGCTCTCCCCGGGCTCCCCGCCCCCGCCCCGGCCCGGGACCCCGCCCCGGCCCGCCCGCGGCCCCGGCCCTGCCGCCCGCGCACCTCGCAGGCCTCGGCGCGGGCGGCCTCGCGTCGCCGTCGCCGGCCCTCGCCCCGCGTGCGCGCGCCCGGCCCGTTGGCACAGCAGCGTCCGGGGCCCCCGCGCGCCCGCCCGGACGCCGCGCGGTCGGGCAGCGCCTCTCGCGTGCGCTCGGGGTGCGGGGACGGAGGCCCCGCGGCCTCTCGGGGGCCCCTGGCGGCCGCTGCAAAGCTCCCGCGCGCGGGTTGCGTTTGCTTATTAGAGGGGGAGGCCGAGGTCGTGGTCACGGCGCACGAGGCCCACCGCGGGGCTGGGCTTTATAAACCGTTTTATTTTTAAAAAAGATTGATTCGTGCGGGCCGGAGGCGAGAGGCCTCCCCAGAGAGCGTGGGGGCAGGCGGAGCCACTGAGAGCCCCTGCGGGTAGCTCCCTGGGGGCAGCCCCCTGGCCGGGGGTGGAACTCAGGCCACGGTGGCTGGCGAAGGCTTGATCGGGGAGACTTAACCCCTGCGCCAGGTCTTTGATGGGGAGAAAAAATCAAAGGAACGAACAATCCAGAATTGGGAGTGACCAGTGGCCTTTGCTGCAGGGGCTCCTGCTGGGTTTCCATGGTGTGCGCCTGGGGCTGTGTTTAAAGCAGGGCCGAGAGGCTTTATGGGGGCCCTGGTTCTCCTCCGGCAGAGAGGTGGCCCCAGACAGCCTGTTCCTGCCACCCGCGGAGCATGACTTAGCAGAACTGACATCGAGGTTTTGCTTACAAATGACATGAGGTTTTGCTCACAAATGACATGCTCGTGCTGAAAATAATGCGCGTGAAAGTCGGAGGTGAGAAGCCTGCTCGAGATTTTGTAAATGGAAGGTGATTTTTTTTGTATGTTTGATGGCCCCATATTTAATTATATTAAAGAAGTTTGTGCTGATTTTAACTTTAGCTTTTGCTGTGTGAACTCATTTGTATATAATCATGGGTTTTCAAAAATTACTTTAAACCATACCACATGTTGGATGTGTCTCACAATCTAGACATTTGCTTTGAATACCTTATTTTATTCTTTGCACCTATTAGGAATTTTTATTCCCATTTTACAAAGAAGCAAAGTGAGGCTCAGGGGAAAAAATGAAGCAACTTGCCAATTTACATCTAGTAAGTGGCAGAGCTAGAGTTTGAACCCAGATCTATCAGATCCCAAAATCTGTTCCCAGACTCATCCTGTGTGTTCCCTCTCCAGGTAAATATAAACAATAGCACCAGGGAATTTGCCTAAGTAATTCCATTTAATTCTGTAACTGCCACGTGAGGGAGCGGTGTGATGCTCATCTTGCAGATGAGGAGAGACTCCGGAAGGTTAATTTCCCCAAGTGACCAGCCTAATAAATGGTGCCCAATGTTTGAACTCTGGCGTGCCTGATGCCAAGCTCATTGCACAATTCCGCACCCCCTTCTGGGCTCCTCCTTCTTTGGCTGCAGCCTTGCCCCAATCAGGTGCTCCTAGTTGGCTGAATAATGGGCACTTAGGCTGATGAAATCCTCCTGGAATGAATGCCTGGATTCCAGCGCATGCCCTGCAGGGCAGACCTGAATCACTGCAGAAAAGGTAAATATTAATTGGCCTTGTGGCTGTTTAGCTACTGGCCTCTGTGAGTCCATGGGGCATGAGTTGGCCTCCTCGTGCCAGAGGGCCCTGTGTGGTCCTGAGAACTTTGTGTTGTCTGAACTCAGGCAGGGGCTGATGGCCCGGCCTCTGTGCTAGCCTCCCTCCAGGATGTCCCTCTAGCAAGCTCTTAAAGCTGGGCATGGCTGGGAACTGAAGTTCTGGTCTCCCCTACTTGAGGCTGAGCCCCACGATGTGCCCCCTTTTCCTCTAAGCGCAGTCTGCCACCTTGTAGGTTCAGAGCAGACGTCAGAGCTGCTGGGAGAGTGGGAGGTTATCTGGTGAGCACAGAGGCCGCAGAGGGCGTTGCCCATGTGGAGGGCTGGCCCCTGAGCCTTGGTGGACCTCTGCACCCTGTCAGTAAACATTCTGAATGGCCAGCAGCCAAGATACAGGCCCCGCCTACCACCCTGGTGTAAACAAGTAGAGAGAGGTTAAGTGCTGCTGGCAGGCCGCCCGTGCCCCTCGGTGGAATCTCCAGTACCCGGTCCCTGTCAGACACCTTTGTGACTGGCCTGAGCCCCGCCCCCCACGCCTCTGGCCTTCCTGGTGACTTCTCATAGTTGCCTGTTTACCTGCCTGGCTTGTCATTGGGCTAAACAACTTGCCAACAGGGGCCTGGGCCTTGCAGAGACAGAGGAGTCTGAACTTTGGCTGCAGACCCGCAGCTTCCAGGAGTTGAAGGGCCCAGAGGCAGGAAGAGATGTCTTTGAGGTAGAGATGGGGCACCCGGGGGTTGTCTGTCACCGGAAACGGACCCCACGTCTTCTCTCCCCAAGTCCAAGGCCCCAGGAGACTTGGTCACTCCTGGAAAGAGAAAAAAGTGCAAAGCGGCCTCGACCCATGGGCTGATGGAGACAGGTGGCTGACTCGGGAGCGGGCAGAAGCACCTGCTGTTCGTGGATGTGTTGTCTCCATCACATGGAGGCTGCACTGGACACCCTGGCACAGGACAGGGCCGCACCTTAACTGCTGGCGGGCCTCTGGCCTTCAGAGACAAGGTGTGCGGCTGTTGAGCTGGTTTCTCACTTGGTGATTCCAGGTGTGACCTGCAGGTGCTGCCCTGTGTCAGGCCCTAGGAGCCCAGGCCTCTTGCAGACCTTGAGAGGGTGTCACCCTGATGGCTGCTGTGCTCTGTGCTTGAGTGTGACATTTCTCTGTCCAGTAGAGCGCCCACATGCCAGCTAGCTGCAGGCAGTGGCCCCTGGGACCAAGCGCTGGGCCCATACCCTGCACGGCCCAAGGCTGCGGCCTGGACTGTGGGATGACTCAGCTGCTTGACTGGGTCATGGGCTAATTTGTGAGCAAGGGAGCCATGGCCGCTGCGTTTCCGGAAGGTGCCTGCCCTACTTCCTGCTGGTGCCTCTGTTCAGAGGCCAGCGGTGGGGAGCCTCAGTGCCGGGTGCTGCCCAGACCATGATGCAGTAGGGCTGGGCAGGGCCCTGAATTTAGGTTGCTGCCAAATTCCCAGGTGATGCAGGTGCTGCAGGTCCCGGGGCTGCACTTTGCCTCAAAGCCAGGACTTCACGACTCTGGGACCTCAACTCCCCCTTTCCGCAGAGTCTCAGCAGCTTTCTTTTGAGATATTCCGGGAGCCCTGATTCAGGAAGGGAGGCTGTGAATGAAAACATGCAAAGAAGGACACCGCGCAGGCAGACGGGGTGACGGGCTGGCAGAAGGGAGGTGCACCCCCACAACTAGGTATTTCCCCAGGATGGCACACACCTCACACTGGCATCCTCCTACCGTGGGGAGGTGGCAAGGGTGCCCATAACCTCTGCTCTTGCAGATGGGGAAACTGAGGCTCAGAGGAAGGGCGTAGCTCCAGCAGGGTCAGGGCTCACCCGGCTCAGTCCCCGCGCCGTGGCGAGACTGGTCATCCTGCTCGGTGCACCCGGGTTCTGGAAGTCCATGTCTCTTCCATCAGTGGGGCTTCTATTGCACTGATGCTTTCTTCAGACACATTGGCGAGGCGGCAGGACCCAGGGGCCGAGGACCTGTGATGTCCACCGGTCAGGTGTGGGTGACCTGCCAGGGATGCTGGTGGCTGCCAGAGCTGCCCTCTGCTCCCCTCCTACTTTGTGATTCAATGTTTAAGAGCTTGGGAGATTTTGGCTGGAAATCCAGAGTGCCACCACCTCGTGAGGGTGGATGCTGGGCGGGCTGGGCACTCCCACAGGGCGGCTCCAGGACCTGATTCCTCACTGCTGCCTCCCTCTCCTCTGGTCGGCTCTCACTCTGGGCCGGGCACAGCTTACCTTGGTGGGTGCCACTTGGAGACAGTCCCAGCCCCAGGCCTTCTCACGCAGGAATCCAGAGACTCCCCCAAATCGCCCTCTTGGGTACGTCCCATTATCCCCCACCTGGCGCACGAGGAGACTGAGCATGGAGAGGTCATGGAGGTGACTGAGCATGGGGCGATGGCAGGTGACATGCAGCAGGCTGCTGTGCCCTCCCTTCGGGCCTTCCTCTAGGGACGTGGGCAGGTGACACTGGCCTTTACTCGGCCACATCCCGAGGGCTCACCTCCTCGATGGTCCTGTGGCTGCAGGTCTGTCCCCGCGGCCCTATCCACCTCCCAGGGCGGCCACAGGGGCTTCAGGTGTGAGGGAAGCGGGTCTGTTCATTTCCGCGAGCAGGAGGGAGATGTTTGTAAATTTCCACTCGAACAAGACCTAGCCCCGATCTGGGGCCATTGTTTCCTGTACCTTTGTCGCATTCTCTAGTGGATGGAAGAACCGCCCAGGAACCATAGACTCTGCTCTAAGTGACCCCGATTTTGTGGTGCTGATGTACCTAGTAAATATAGTTAGTGCCAGATGGGGCTCCTGCCGTGCAGAGCTCTGAAGGCAAGTATGGATTCATTTTGAGTTTCCTTAAATTA